ATATATATATATATGTGTGTGTATCGATTCTATTAATTTACCTTTGAGATTACTTATATTCCATGTTTTTATAATAATATTAGTTTCATGGACTAACTTTTTTGCTCTTGTTCGTCTAAAATGTGAAAATTCATCCTTATTTAACACTGCACACGGGTGCGGTGCAGCCATGTACACTTTTTATTGTATTCCAGTCATATAGCATGTCGCTTCTAGATAGACGCCCAAACATTAACACAATGAATTAAATGATTGGTGTTATTTTTTTTTAATAAATATTTACACGACCCTCCACTTTTCGCATCCGAGACTTAGAACCCTACAATAGCAATATTATTTACATGCATTATACCATGAAATTGAATTAGGAAACCCTAAGCTCTAAAATATCCTCCATCAAAACACAAACAAGCTAATCTTCAGAAATGTTCCTTGCTTCATCTAGTATTATAATATTATTAGTAATGTGAAGCCCTCCATTTTTATTTTTATTTTTTTGTTTACCCTAATGGCTTCCTTAATTTTTTAGCAGAATTTTATCACCCCTAGTGACCTCTTTCAAGTCAACTTTTTAAACTTGATGTTATTGGAATATACTCTTCATTAGAAGTGTGGCCATTGTGGCATCTTTTTGATATTTAAAACTTACTTTCAATATCTACAAACCTTATGATATTAGCGGCTGAACTTTCATGTGACACCTAAGGCCTTCTTTCCTTTCCTATCCAATTTTTTTATTTCCCAACAAAATTTAAATTCAACTCTTCAATGTCTCTTTTGCTAGTTAATAATAATTTCATAGAATACGTGATCATAAATAAGAATCCTAGAAATTGATAAAAATAAATCAATTTTGCTCAAAATAAACTCTATGTAAATGCATTATTTCTTTTACTTTTGATGGCTAACTCATAGATTTATTTAAGTGTGAAGCCTAATTCATCCGCTTTTGGCGATCTAACAAATCTAATTTTCAACAAGTGTGTGGATTTCACTTTTATTATTGAAGGAAAGTGAATTTTAAATTTATTTACACTCAAAAAAAAGCTGCTCATGCATCGGGTAGGAATTTTATCTTAAATTTATACTCAATTTTTAGAACGAAGCCATAAAACTTTCATCCAAATTAATTTATTTTATTTTATTTTTCACTTAAGCAAATATTCATTAAAAAGCGAGATTTTATGATATGTGCATCTTGTGTGCTTTCGTATGATTTTATATATCTCATAATAGAACTTTATCAAAGCCCCTAGACGATATGACTTTCTACATCAACTTAAGTATAAAAGCTTATGATTGTCTTATTTAAAACCTAAGATAAAATATATTTGGTATGTAACATCATAAAAAAAATTGCAATTTGAATGTAATTAATTTAATTAAGATTCTAGACAATTTCAACATACCTAACATGAGATTAAAGATATTAATTTCATATTCGATGAAAAGTGTGATCCTAGACCACTTCAAATTCAGATAGAAAATTAAGAAAATTTCTTTAAAAAATTATAAAGTATTTTAGATTGTTGAATTGTTAAATTTGCTAAAACAAAATTAGCAAAACTTTGCTCGATAATTGTCAAAAGTGTTGGCACTAAAACAAAATCTATATGAACTAATATTAAACATAACTTTAAATAACAATAATCTCCATTTATTGATTAGATGAATCATCAAAATGTAAATTTACGACCCTTAGGCGACTATTTATGAGTTTTTTTTTAGTTTTAAAAGTCTTGTAACCAGCATTACGTGCCTGTTTTTACCATTATAAATTCCATCAAAGGCTTGGGTAAGAAATTAAGCAGAAATTCTACCATAATTCACAAAAAAAAATTAAAAAAGAAATAGATGAAGCTTTATTCAAAGCTTGAGAATTTGTGAAATATTATGAAACTCCTCCTAGAACTAACCAATTAATAAATATTTTAAGAAAAACCATAACCGTCTCATCTTAAGCTTGTTTAAAACACACCAAAATGAAACTTGTGCTGGTTTAAAATTGATCTCACTGAAGAAATTATTATCCGTGGCTATTCTATGAACAATAAATCAAATGTGAAATAGAATTTCAAATAATAAATTCATAAAATGATTCTACAAATGAGTTTCCTACATCTAACTCTATTTTTAAGTCTATATTAGAACAAGTTCATGAACATAAACCTAGAAATAAGTAAGGATTGTCAAAATGTGCATCAATCTTTGATTTTAAGATAGAATAAATCATGAATTTGAAGTTAATAGATCATTTTTTCAATAAATTCCAATTGGACATACAATTCAAGGAATTAGCTCCACGATCAAGTGAAAATCATCAATATTTATTCTCTTTAATAGCCTTATCCCAGCTAAACAAGACCGCTTAATGAATCCTCGCATTTTTCATTTATACCTACTAAGTGCTAATTGAGAGGTTAAACATATTATTTACATTCAATTTGCACTTCTATCCATATAGCCTTGGTGCAACCCTTGCCTTAATCATTTAATGCTATCTTTAGTCGCTCAACTAATGGAAGGAGCTTCTAAACTTCACTAAACATATTCAATCCACCAATCAATTTTTTATTACTTTTTTCTATAAAAGATGCCCACGTCAACTATAGCTCTAATATAATTATTTTTTAATTTATCATTCACAATTTTATATCAAGTATATCTTAACATTCTCATTTCCGCCCAATAAATTTATACTTAAATTAAACCTATCAAGCCTAGGCTTTACACAATATCAATCTTAACATTCTCATTTCCGCCCACTAAATTTATAATTAACTTAAACCTATTAAGCCTAGGCTTCACAATATCTTCTAAGAATATTTGATGGTACCAATAAAAAGTACATATTATATACTTTGTCATTATCCTTTATCTTCTAAATACTTACTTAAATATTCAAATATTTATTTTACTTAATTCAAAAAAAGTCTCACAAATTAGAACTACATCATATGCTAAAAGAAAATATCTAACTTTAAATATCATTTGTTAAGCATTTTCAAAATATATAAACTCGTTATTGATACTTAATGTAAATCTATTGTAAAAGAAATTATCACCCCATAGCTACTTCTAATACCAGCCAGTATTCATCATACAAATCTTTAAAAACATCCATATACCTTTAGCACATAACTTTCTACCTTAATGTGCACAAATCAATTCCCAAATACTCGATCATATGTCCTCTCAAGATCAATAAAAAACAAATGAATATCCTTTCTATATCTCTACAGTTCTCTTTTAATTGTCTTACACAAAAATTGCTTCCATGATAATTTTTTCACATGAAACCAAATTAGTTCCCCAAAAACTAAAGTTGTATCTTAAACTTATATTCCATTACTCCATCCCATAGCTACATTATGACTTGTAAGATTAATTCTTATACGGATATCATAATCTTGAATATTATCTTTATTCTTAAATACTGATATCAAAATTTTTTCTCCAATTATTTAGAATCATTCTCTTAGTCTTTAAAATTCTATTAAAAAAGATTTCTTAATCAAACCGCTGTGATATCTCACATAACTCTCTCCAAATATCAATAGCAGTGTAATTTGGGTATAAAGTCTTCAAAGCTTGCTCCACTTTTTATTTTTTGATATACTTAAGCTCTTCCAAAATAATTTCTTCCATAAAACTCATATTTAGTGATTTCACAAAGTAAAATTTACATGTTTATCTGATATCTTTATCTTTAACCAATATCATGTTATCTACATTTTTAATTCACCTACCTCTAACAGTCTCCAGCTCTCTTGTACAATAAGACTTATAAGATTTCAGATAGATTGTATCTTTGAGGCTTGCTTCTTTTACTTTTGGTGACTTCTTCCCTCATTTTTGCATCTTGCTCAAAATTTAGTTAATTTATGGATCATATGATTAATTTAACTCAAGTTTGATACAATTTTGTTTTCAACATTGCATAGATTTCTACTCTTGATTCTAGATTTCAATTTAGTATTTCTAGTAGAAGGTCGATGAATTTTCACCAACAAAGTTTTGTTTAAGTACTATATGATTTTGTGCATCTCTTAATAGATCTGCATTGCAAAATTTAGACCCCAAAAAGCTAAGGTGTCCTACATCAGTTACAATGTTGTCTGAAAATATATATATCACCAAACTCTAAAATAGCTGGATGAGCTGTTCAATGTGTTCCATATGTTTGTGCGATGAAGAAGAACGAAAAAGGTAGGAATTCTCACATCATATTACACACAAAAACCAAAATTGTTTTTCATAAATAAAACACAGAAATACTCCACCAAAGAAGCCTTGCACTTCTCGAATCATTAGGCATGCGGACATCATTTTTCTACTTCTAGAAACAAATGATAAATTAATTTTATTAGAGAACATATGGAAATTTAGAAATTGGTGTTTCCACTAATGAGCAACTTGGACAACAGAAATCATAGTATCGATAAGAATGCACCCTCATAACCACAGAATCATATGGAAAATCCCCGCTTGAATGCATCAAAATACAGTTGATGTTGCTAGAGAGTTACCATTTTTGCTCTAGAAAAATCAATCTTTCACCAGTGCATTTAACTTCGTTATTTCACAATCAGTATGCTCGACTTCAAACAACAACACCAAGGAAATACATAGTGTAGCTGAATCATTAAATCCAACTTCTACTCAACACTGCAAATAAAGTATCAGAATACCTGCAAATGCCTCCTTTGCTTGAGGATGCTTGCATTTATCAGGGTGGACAAGCAAAGATAGCTGTAAAATTGCAGGAAATTATATTAACAATAGAAAACCAGTCCTCTTGTTCAAATGGTTAATAGAAATCTGACTTATAAATATATATTTGAAAACAGAAAAAGGCAACAAGATTTTAATCTGCAAGCTCACCTTTCTATACTGCTTCTTCACATCCTGAATTGATGAGTTTAAGGATAAGTTCAGGTGCTCAAAAGGATTCAGTTTGAAACAGGAAAGAATCCTGAAGGAAATAAAGATTAAGTGGCACGGCCACACAAGCAAGCACACAACAAAAAACATTACTGCTTTAATACCTCAGAAAGCATGTATCTAGTAAACTAAGCAGAATTTGAAGGATAGTCAATGTTATAAGAATTAACTTTTATAAATAAAGGCTTTAATTTTTACTGCCATTACTATCCTTATGTGTGGCAACCAATTAAATTAACAATTAAGCATTCTAATTTACATGTAAATGGTACTAGATTGCTATGATTGTCAACAAACTAGAGGTTGTCAACATAAATATATCAAATTGAATATCAGCACCTTAGATGAAGCCATGAGTACCATGCATGGTGTTGGATTTGTGACTAGAGCAGTGTATTCTTAATGATGAAACAATGAGGGGGGTATTTAAACCCTTACAATGGACTCAAATAAAGAAAGAAATAAAAATACAATCAAAGAAATAAAATCAGATTACGATAAAAAGGAAACTACATAATGCAGAATAAGGGTAATTAATAAATAAGAACGGAAAGCTAACAAATCTTAATAAATATAATGCTCCCCCTCAAGTTGAAGCATAGATGTCAATCATTTCACTTGGATTTGAAGTCATCGAACAAAAGACGAGGAAGATTTTTGGTGAGGATAGCTGCTAGTTAACCACAGGAAGGTACAAAAGAAATATAAATTTCCTCAGACTCAATCTTTTCCTCAATGAAGTGTCTGTCAATCTACACATGTTTGATACGATCATGATGGACTGGATTGTGAGCAGTGTTGATGGTGGCATTATTATCACAAAATCATTGTAGTGGGAGAGAGGTTGGCATACGAAGTCACGGAACATGATGCGTAACCGAAGGGTTTCACGAAACCCCAAGAACATGAACCAGAATTCAGCTTCAACATTGCTCCGGGCAACCATAGACAATTTTTTACTTTTCCACGTGACAAAATTTTCCCATACAAATGAACAATACCCCCGAGATGAACAGCAATAGATCAAGAAGTGTGACGAGTGAAAAACAAACATAAGCCTCGTGTTCCTTTTAAATAGTGTAGAATTCGATGGACCGCTTGGAGATGGTGCTATAGGGGTCATGCAGCGATTAACTCGCTATACCAACTACGTGGCATATGTCGGAGCGAGTATGGGCGAAAAAAATAAGTTTCCCCACAAGACGCTGGTAGTGAGTCATGTTGACAGGCACAGCGTTGGGAATGTTGGATAATTTTTCAATGGGATCCATAGGGACAGCTATGGGTTTGCACATAAGAAGATTATTCTCTGTCAAGAGATCTACACGTATTTGCGTTGAGATAGGAAAATGCCCCGAGATGATGGAGTTATTTCCATACCTAAAAAGTACCGGAGAGATTTTAAGTCTTTCATTTCAAAAGACTTGGCAAGAATGTCTTTCAAGGACTTCAGTGTTGAGAGATCGTTAACTGTAAAAAAAATATTGTCAACATAGAAAATAAAAATAGCTACCTGGATTGGAGGAATGTCGGAAGAAAAGAGTGTAGTCTCATTGAGCTTGAGTAAAACCATGTCCTAAGCCACCTTTGTGAACTTGCTGAACCAGACCCTTGGAGACTACTTTAGTCCATAAAGAGATTTTCGCAGTATGCACACTTACCCTCTGGAGACAGTAGAGTCCAAACCAGAAAGGAGAGACATGTATACCTCTTTTATAAGTTCTCCATTCAAGAATGCATTCTTGACATCTAGCTGGAATAAATGTCAATTCAGATTCATCGCAAGGGACGTGACACGAATAGTGTTTAACTTCGCCACCAGAGCAAATGTCTCCTCATAATCAACTCCGTAGGACTGTGAGTATCGTTTGGCAATCAACCGTGTCTTGTTGCGTTCAAAGGATCCATCAAAGTTGAACATGGTGCCAACTTTCTTACCTTGAGGAAGATCAATGATGTCCCACGTATGGTTTCGTTTTAGAGCAGTCATCTCCTCCATTACTGACATTTTTCAGGCTGGATCAGCAAAAGCAACCTCAATAATACCTAGAATCTGATGGGTCGCCGTGACAGTAGAAAATGCTTTGTAGGTTGGCAATAAACTGTAGAAAGATACATATAAAATAGAGAGAGCATAACTGACTGCATACCTTACTCGGAGAACTCACCTACTCATTCGGAGGAGGCGTCATGCTGAGAATGTCGCCCGGAGGGGAGTCGAGGTTCTATAAGGAGGTAGCGGATTCCAGAGTAGTAGCATTGGAACGGGCACGCAGATTGTAGACATGGATAGTGGGAGGAGGAGATAGTTCACTCACCGAATCAAGGGACTCACCGGATGGAGCACTTACCGAAATAGGAGACTCCTCAGTGGTAGTAACACTGGGGGAACAAACATAGGGGTAGGATAAGAAACTATGTCTAAGAACCCAAGCTAACCCAAGCTGCCCCTCAATTGAGTTCGAGCTAGGAAAATATGGAACGCTTTCAAAGAATGAGACATCAGCACTCACATAGATTTCATTAGTGGTAGGATGAAGGCAACAATACCCAAGAAAGATACATTTTATAGTCATGGGATCAAGTTTACTTCGATTGGGGGCAGTGTTTTGAACAAAAGCAGTGCACCCAAAAATCATAAGGTCTAAGGTAGAGATGATACGATTGGCAAGGAAGCAAGACATCAGGATATCTAGAGGGTTCGGAACTTATGAATTTTAGAGGGGACTCTATTTATGAGATAGGTGGCAGTGAGAATGGCATCATTCCAAAACCGTTTCGGGCATCGAATTGAAAAACTCACAGTCATTGTCAGTCTGAAAGACCTGAATAGGAGTTTTAAATTGAGTTAAAATAAAGGTATAGAAGTTTTGGAAGATGACAACAACCTTCGATTAGTCTTTTAAAATGTAGACTCGCATTATTTGAGTGTGGCTATCGATCAAAGTTAGGATCCACCTTTTATTTGAGTAGCTAGGAGTGCGAGAGGGTCCCCATAGGTTACTATGAATGAGAGAGAAATGAGTGAAAGGTATGTAAGTGTGAGGTGGGTAATGGACCCAATGATGTTTTGCTAATTGACCTGTCTCACAATTGATATTATAAAAATTTTTTATTAGAAAACATCCAATGCTACAAATTTTTAAAATATTGAAAAAAAAAATGACTTAAACGACAATGCAACAATATAATAAAACATTCAATAACTCAAGGTAAGCTATAACTCCTAAGAAATGTGTCCTTACTCTCTATGTTATTCTCTTGAAAGTAGTAGAGTTTGGCTACTTCTTAGCAGTTTCAATCCTCTTCAAATGACAATATTAAAAAACACAACTATCAGATGAAAAATTAGCAACACAATCAATATCATTCGTCAACTTGCTAACATACAACAAGTTATATTGCAACTGAGGAACACATAAAACAAACTTCAAAGTTAGATATGTTATTAGTACCATAGACCCTTTATCAGTAATAGAATTACAAGATAAATCAGTAATTCTGACAGTATCCTTTTTAGAGCATGGATAGTAAGCCTAGAAAATCTATGAGCATTCAGTCATGTAATTCATGACACCTTAATCAATAATACATGGACTAAAAACGGAATAAGTCGTGAAAGTCATAGAAAGAGTCCCTTGTCGGATGTGGGAGGTCAACGAACCCATAAAAATTTGATGGGCTTCAAGAAGTTTGATCAATTGCTCCATCTAATTTTTTAGGGATCTAGAGGATTTTGAGATGTTCCAGGTAGAAGTCAATTGAGCGGTGGTGGGCTCGGTCGTCACCTTGAGACCTTCGGTATAAGAGGATTCGGTCGAAGGTTTGTATGTCGAATCACTGTGAAGTTTCCAACATTTATTCTGAGTTTGGTTAGGTTTGTGGTTCTGAGCCATCGATGAATTTCAGTAGGATCATGACAAACGGATACAATTGCAGGAAACACCTGCACTGGACAACTACAGAACTCCTTCCTGCAGAACAGGGGACAGCTGGTTGAATCTGTAGCAGGAAGGTCGGCGGTTGCGCCAAAACAGAAGCACCACGGGACCTGTGGCTACTGAAATTGAGGATCCTACAGACAGAAAAAGACTGCGGCTTCTGGAACCTGTAGGGAGGATCAGCAACACCAGGAAGAAATGGGCCGACTGGAAGGCCTCTTGGGGTCAGCAGCTGGAATTAGCGGCTAGAAGCAGCAGCACCAAAGTGGCAGAAGCAACAACGGCTGAAGGAATCATACGAAAAAACCTGTTGATAGAAGGAATTTGCGATTGAAGCAGCGGCACTAAGGTGGCAAAACAACATCAATTGGAGAACAGCGACTGAATGAACCATATTGGAAAAACTACAACAGAAGGAATTAGCGACTGAAGCAGGGCACTAAGGTGACAAAAGCAACAACGGTTGGAGAACATTGGCTGAAGTAATCATGCCGAAAAAAGCTACAGCAGAAGGAGAGCGGCGGAAGAAAAAATCAACATATTAGGCCGATGCTGAAAGGTGGGTGCCAGCCGGCTAGGGTGGAACCTATATGGTTAGACCCATGTCTCTGATACCATGTTGGATTTGTGTCAAGAGAGTTGTATTCTTATTGAGACAATGAGGGATATTTAAACCCTTACAATGGACTCAAATAAAAAATAAATAAATATACAATCAAAGAAATAAATCAGAATAACGATAAAAAAGAAAACTACAAAATGCAGAATAAGGGTAATTAATAAATAAGAACGACTATGGAAAGCCAACAAATCTTAAAAAATCTAATACATAGTTTTAACTTATTTTTTTCAACGAACTCTCGAGTTATCACTCCAAAATTTAAATGATACAGATACCTGAAATAATAAGTGAATAACCATCCAATTCAAAAATGATGCAGGTAGTAATAGCTCGCGGCCCATTCCATCAATCTATCTAATAACTAAATATGGCGATCACATAAGGCTCCATCTAGTGATATTGGGTTGTGTAGAGATATTTTATGTCGTGTATAATTAGGCCATTCTAACTCATGAAAACTAGATGAAC